TTAAATATTTTAAAATAAAGTTTATAGCATCGAATATTATGTCACTACTAAAATTATATTTTATTTAAATACATTTTATCCCAAAATATTATTATAGTCATTATATAGATTTATTGGTAAAAATTTTGAAAATATATTTATGTACTTTAAACTAGAAATTTTAAAAATTGCCTAAAGAAAAGTTTTGTTTTAGATATTTTTAAAACTCGCGAGATTAATGCTAAAATCACTAACGGCTTCTAAATCTTGTACAACATTGCAGTTCTCCTTGGTGCATGGGTTGATAGAATTGAAATCCCATGAGTCCAGTCATCTGAGCTTGGATTCGGGCAAATCCGCATGTTTAAGTTCGACTCCAATTGGATTCATCTTTTATCACCTTTCTTTTATATATATATTATATATTTTATATATATTTTAAATTTCTCATACCTCAATATTTTATACTATTTTTAAACTATTCATACACTCTATACTATTTTTAAATACATATATTATAACATGAATGAGTTTCTTTTTAAATTTTAATAATATAGTTATATTGAATATGATTTATACATGCATTTTTAGGATATTTTAAAACAAAAGTATATAATGTTCGATATACATAGAATATACATATATTTGAAAGTATATAATGCTCTGTGTTCATCTTCCCTCTCTTCAAAAGGATTCGTCCTCGAATCACGAAAATTATCACCTACATCAAAAGGAGTCAAGTCATTAACATTGTAAATAGAACATACTGAAATTTCTCCGAGAAGATCAATTTTATAGGCATTGTTATTAATTCTTTTAAGAACAAGAACTTGACAAGGGTCATCCCCTTTGATGTAACTTGGTCTTTCTTTGAGATGTGAATCGCTCTTTGTGAAAATGTATCCAAAGCCAGTCATCGTTGAAAAATAATTTTCTTTCATTCTTTGTTAATTCGTGAAGTAACCCTTCACCTATTTGTGCAATACTTTGATCAAATTTGTCTTACTTTTACTGCTTCACTCACAAAAAAAAAATATTAGAAAGAATAGGAAACAAATCAAGAAGCGTATGTGGAATAAATTCATAAACAACTTCAAAAGGAGAAAACAATTAGTGGTACTATGAATTGCTCTCTCTACAAATGCAAACTTTCGTCTCAAAACTTAATATTCTTAGAAATAATAACTATCCTATCTGTCTGAGGATGTTATGTAGTTGAAAACAACAACTTGGTACCCAACTTACCCTACAATACATTCCAAAAGTGACTTAAAAGTTTAACATCGTATCTCTAACAATTATTCTTGGGTTTCCATGTAATCTTACTACTTCCCTAAAGAATAAGCCAGCAACATGCTTTGCATAATCCCTAAACATTATTCTTGACTACAAAACTTGTGAACATCGTGCTTCATCTTCGATCAAAAGAAGTGTTCATGCAACATATTATAAGTTTTATTAATCCCAAAATGTCTCATTAAGCCACCACCAAATTAGACTAGCTCCAAAGATAAACTAACAACCCTTGCTAAACCTATCAAGTAAGTGACTCTATTATTTGCTTGGTTAGATGAATTGTATTGCGTATTTTAATGCATACGTGTTTCCCTTGAGCATGTCATAATTACGATTGTTATGCTATCCAATGTCGTGTTATGCCATGTTTATAAGCTAGACTATAGTGTGACTATACTATGTATAATAATATGTTATTATGATGATAATCTATGATGTGTTAGGACGTGTATATAAAAGATTTGATAAGAATTATGTCTGCATATTTACGTTATAAATGGAATTGGAGGTTTGACTTGCATTATAAATTTATGTCATTATTTTAAGGCATGGGGACCTCATGACTTTTTGTGTGTCATATGCATCGTGATACTTTTCTATTATGATTAATACAAATGTGTACTTTACGACTTACGAGAATTATGTTCGTCCCAATGTTACGTAGGCCCTTTCCCTTCATGGTGTCTGAAAGCACATTAGCGAGTGCTAGTCTATTGAGACAGGCCTAGGCAATACATGAGCCCTCAGGTGGGTCCTCGTGCTCGTGGTTCGGTCGTGTGTAGAAAAGTACTATACATCCAACCTTGCCGGAACTGGAAAACTACCTAAGGCAATGCCATTAGAACCTATCATGTCACATGTGTTTGTATTTCTAGACACCAAATGTACAGTTACTTACTACGTATTTCTTAAACTACTTAAACCACGTAATACTCTTATTTTTCAGGTAAAGGTTAGGCGCAAAGGTACGGATGGCGACGCCGTGACGAAAGCCATGGAACTAGAGGTAGGGTAGACACAATTTATGTCTATTTATTAGTCCTTAATAAGTTCACGTCAATGTTTTTATTTTTCAATATTTTATCTAAACTTCACATGATTTATTTTTCGCATTATTGTTTTAAAGATTTTATTAGGAACGTGGGAGCCCACGACACCTTTTATGAAATATTTTGTATGAATATTTTGCGTACACATTAATCATGTCATCTATGTAGTAACAACTTTATGTGAGTGATCATGTCTAGGTCGATTTTCCATAGAATAGGTGCTAAAAATTTCTAAAATTCTTCTGGTTGGACATAATTTCCCATTAAAATTAGGTTAATATCGAAATCGAGAAAATACAGACAAATATAGGTCAAACAAATGGGAAAAGAAGTATCACTCGTTGGTTATGGACCAACATATGCACAAATATCATGTACGACTACATACGCGTAGAGGCGGTCGCATGCGTAAAGGTGGTATGAATCTCAAATTGGGTCAGGCACATAGGGTGCGGGTCACGATTTGAGTCGGACACAAACAATCGAGTCTGAAATTTGTAACTTGTGTGTCGTCAATGCCTTCGAATCATTTTTTTTAAGATTACAATTAGTTTTTTTATTTTTTCTATTTCTTTGAAGTCTCATCTTCTCTCCTACAAAATTTTAAGAAACTAAGATGGTAAAGTTTTAAGCCTACTTTCAAAAAAAAAAAA